TACTGTATTAGGCACATCCGTGACAAAAGACCTCTTAAAAGCATCAAAGAGACCAGCCTGGAGCAGCTAGAAGAACAGAAGATACTTCCTGAAAGAAACACCAACAGGAAAAATACAAAACAGTAACGGCAGCCTGACTGACTACTACAAGAACAAGCAAGTTGCTAGCCTGGGAGACATCAAGGCAAGCGGTTGACTCCCCTCAGGGCAAACCCTCTTCCAAAGACTGAGACTCAATGAGAATACATGAGCAGACAAGTGCTCTGACTGGTGATGACACTGGTCACCGATAAGGGGAAGTGAAGGAAAAACAGCAATGAAGCTGTAAGCTAAGTCCAACCACGTTCAATATACTCCTGTGAACCAGGGTGGACACCTGGTTGGCCAGCAGTTTGGCAAGACCTGGGGACTCCTGGGCCCAGAGTCAGTGACATAGCCACAGAGGACTAGAATGGAAAATGAAGCATCCAGCTGATAAGAAGAAAGGGCATATGCACAAGAACACCCACACTTTCAGACAATACCCACTTGACCTGGCTTCAATGGCTGGATGATCAGAGTTCAACTAGAAGAAGAAAGAAGAGGAAAAACACAGTCATCTGATCCCATTTGATCAACTTGACCTACACCTATGGATGTAGTAGCTCAAAAAAGGAAACAAATCTTTACAACAGTATATCATTCCCACCCCTTCAATACACAGAGTAGACAGGGATGGGCAACTTGGACATTGGTTACCCAAAATGGGGGTGTTACAAAGACAAGAAGCGACTGGCTTACAAGCTTTCAAGAGGAAGCCTAGATCCAGAGGGTGAAGAGGAAAGGTAGAATCTCCACTGAGTAGTGTCCAATCTGTCTGGCCAGGGCTGATGAAAGGAGATGGGGATAGGATTCTTGTGGTACAATAGTGAATAACTGCTATCAGGACTGACTGTGAGGGTTGGAAATGTAAAGGTAGACATTTTGTAGCAAAAGGAGGGGAGTGATTGACTTTGCAGTCCAGGAGCGGAGGGCCCTGGGACCATCAAGGGAGAAGAGCAGAGTGCAGGACCCTACCTAGAGAAACAGTGACACCAGAGATGGAGGCAGAGATGATGATGTGGAGAAATGGAGTGGCTGGGAACTCTAGACCCAGAGAGGGAGAGGGGCTTTGTGCTGATGAACAGGGGGCAGGCTTGTGGGATGTATTATTTGTTTGGTTGATGTTGCATGGAGGGGATTGTAATCATGGCAATGAAACGATATACGACAGGATGAATGTAAAACTAATGTTCTCCCATGTAAACTATCACATAATTTCCAATAAAACATTAAAAAAAGAAGTGTCAAAGAGCAAAGATGTTACTTGGAAGACTAAGGTGTATCTGACTCAAGCCATGGGATTTTCAATCACCTCATATGCATGTAATGACTGGAGAAAGAATAATCTGAAAAAAACTAATGCATTTGAATTGTGGTGTTAGCAAAGAATACTGTAAGTACCATGGACTTCCAGTAGAATAAATCTGTCTTAGAATGCCCCTTAGAAGTGAGGATGGTGAGACTTGGTATGAAAAAGGACCTCATGCGTGGAAGAGTAGAGACCCCTAAGGAGATGGAATGATAACAATGGGCAGGCGCGCAGGACTAGGTATTTCCGTCTGATATGCATAGTGTCCTGTGAGTGGGAGTTGACTGAAAGACACTTAACAACATACCTGTAGTTATAATCCCATCTGGGAATGAGTATTCTTTGTTATGTAATGATGCGGTATTAGTATAAAGTTTCTTAATCAACGTCTTTTGAAAGATAAAAGAACAGACTAGCCAAGAAAGCACAAGAGGAGGGGAAGAAACATACCATATCATCACCATGAAATGCAGGGGGAAAAGCTGTAAAGAGACAAGCACTTGTCCCTAGAGCAGACAGAGCTTTCCCCTAGGTAGTACCCTGAATTCAGACTACTAGCCTCTTACATTATGATAAAATAAATGTGTTTGCTAAAGCAACCCTATTCTGGTATTACTGTCATAGCAGAATTAGATAAACTAAGACAATACTTAAAACTCTGTAAATGAACTAAGTTTGTTAAGTGCGGTCAAGTGGGTTCCAACCCACAGCGACCCTGTATAGGGTTTCCTAGGAGTGGCTGGTGAGCTTGAACTGCAGACCTTGCAGTTCAAACTAACTTTGCAGAACTAAGCTAAGTTAAGCACTACAACGGGAGAAACTGGAGGGAAAGAAGGTATAAACTATAGAATGACAACTCTGAGTCTGAGAACAATTAATCTTGGGTAATTTAACATCATCAGTTACTTATTCAAAACCAAAAGGCAAATTTTGTTTGTAATGGAATATTTTAGCAGCTAAACCTCACCAAGCTAAATCTCAGCGAAGTCGCAGCTGATCCTAGCTGCTTTGTTTCCTGTGTGCTAATTAAAAGTAAAAATGACCGCAAGTTAGTGATTTACCTCGTGCACCAGGGCTAATTATGAGTAGAAAACTTTTTGTGACTCACATTTTTCCCCCCTCAATAATTATTTTTAAAAAATGTTTAAACTAGAATATACATTATCTTTAACTTGCTTAAGCATTCTTTTTATTTTCCCATCTCTGAAGATGATTGGAAACAATTAGTTGAATGGAATGATGGACTACATGAACATCAGTATCCACCACCTAATACCAGAAAAGTTAGATGATGTACAGCTACCACTACCAACTGCTCTGAAAAGGATCACACTAGAAGGTCCTACAAAGAGTGGGAGAAAACATGGAACAAAACTCAAAATCATACAGAAGACTAGGTTTACTGGTCAGAGACTGGTGGAAGCCCGAGACTGTGTCCCTTGATCACCCTTCAGGTCTAGAACTGAACTCACCCCATGACTCAGTTTTCAGCCAATCAACAGATAGGTATATAGGCGAGACAATACTAGTGAGGTATACACACACCATAGAATGGTCAACCATTTGAGATCAAAAGGGCAGCAAAGTTCAGAAGGGTTGGAAGAGGAGGAGGAATGTAAACAAGAAACACAGGGAGGACATGGGATGAGTGATGTTATAATGGGAACACTGCAATCAGTGAGATGAAACAAAGTGCATGATTTGTTGAATGTATAGTGATGATCTGCTCTGTTAGCTTTCACTCAATTGACCACAAAAAGTTAAAATGAAAAAAGTTTGTTAAAGTTATAAAATGAGCAACCAAAGTAAAGGAATATCTCATTTCTAATATATCATACACACTGCTTAAATACTAAGACTTAAGACAATCTTCTCTGACACACTGAACCCAAATTGACTGTTCTGTGCTATTTCTCTTCCATTAGACTGCGAAGTTCTTTGAGGATATCTTTACATTTCAAGGCCTAACAGACTCTTTGGAGTTCTGTTGTGGCGCTATGAGTTAATGCATCGTGTTGCAAAGCTGTTTGAACTGCAAGAAGGGTGGCTGAAACTCACCAGAGGCTCCTTAGAAACCCTATACTGGGTCGGTATGGGTCAGAACTGACTCGAGGGCACTTAACAACAACAGACTCTGACACCTGACAGGTGTAAAATTCCTGAGCAAGTTCCTTCCTGTTGAACTTGTAAGACCATTGGAAAATTAAGAGCTCACTCCACACAGTCACTATTTCAGCAGGAAGACAGATACTAGTGATAATACTGAAGAACATGCTAAATCTTAAATCTTACAAGTTAGGAATGCATTCCCAAATGTTTGTTGTTGCTGTTAAGTGCCGCTGAGTTGGTTCCAACTCATATGACCCAGTATAGGGTTTCTAAAGAACAGCTGGTGAGTTTGAACCACCGACCTTATGGTCCTGCATTTATCCTACAGTGCAACATCAGGACTCCATCTCAAATGTCTACTATGTCCTTTTTATTTAATCTATTATGTATTTGACATGATTTTATACAAATCTTTTTGAATCTCTGAACATTGCTTTTTTTTTTTTTTTTCCAAATATTTTATTGTGAATTTTATGATAGTTTACATGGGAAAACATTAGTTTTACATTCATTCTACCGTATACTGTTTCACTGCCATGGTTCCAAACCCTTCCATGCATCATCAACCAACCAAAGGCTGTAAGCCTGCCCCCTACACTACCCCCGCCCCTGCCCCGCCAGTCTTCAGCACACAGTCGCTCTCCCTCTCTAGATCTAAAGTCCCCAGCTGCTCCATCGCTCCACGTCATCATCTCTGCCTCCATCTCAGGCATCACTGCTTCTCTCGGTAGGGTCCCACTCTCAGCTCTTCTCCGTTGATGGTCCTAGGGACCACCGCTCCTTGACTGGAAAGTTAATCACTCCCTTCCTTGCTTTAAAACGTCTACCTTTACATTTCCAACCCTCACAATCAGTCCTGATAACAATTATTCACTATTGTATCACAAGAGACCCATCTGCATTTCCTTTTATCAGCTCTGCCTAGACAGACTGGATAGTACTCACTGGAGATTCTGCCTTCCTCCATGAACCCTGGCTCTAGGTTCCCTCTTGAAAGCTTGTAAGCCAGTCACTTCTTGCCTTTATAGCCCCCTTCCCCCCCCATTTTGGGTAGCCAATGTCCAAGTTGTCCATCCCTGTCTACTCTGTGTGTAGAGGGGAATGATTCTTGCTGTAAGGATTTGTTCCCTCTTTTGAGTTACTGCATCCACAGGTGTAGGTCAAGTTCATCAAATTGTATCAGATTGAATATTGTTGTTTTTTTGTTTTTTTTTAAAACTGAGCCAATTCTGTATTTATGACTACCAAATAAAAATTACTTTAAAATAGCCTTAAAAAAGTACCTTCTGTTAAAAGAAAAAAAGAGAGAAAAGCTAAGTCTCTGTTTACCCACAGCACCAAAATGTGCATGATATTTTATTTGACAAAGTTTAAAAAGAATGAAACTGACAGAGAACTAATGTACTTTTCTAGGATGTAAAAATAACTTATTGAGAAATCAAATTCTTTGACATGAACATACTTAATAGAACAGATTTTTTAAAAAATAAACTTTACCAACCTTGAGCATACAAAGTTAAGACTGCCTGGATGGCTACATACACGCCAGAAAACTGGTAAGTTTCAAACATGACCTGAAAATACAGAAAGAAAAATGTATGTATTAGTTATTTAGGAAGTTAGTTACTTAACACATCTTCAAATGTCATATAAAAAGAAAATATTTATATGCTTTCCTTCTGGTCACAAAGTGGATGAGTTACTCAAAATAGAATCAAAGGGACCTCAAAGAATTCTCCATCCTCATCCAGCTATTCTTGCTGTCACAGAGCTCCAGTTTTTTGAGAAGCTCCAGTTCTTTGAGGATAGATTTTTGGATGCCTACTGATTCCCTGGAAGGAGCTCTGGTAGCTTAGTGGTTAAGAATTGGGCTGCTAACCTTAGGGTCAGCCATTCAAAACTACTAGCTGTTCCACGGGAGAAAGATGAGGCTTTCTACTCCCGTAAAGATTTACAGCCTTGGAAACACTTTGCAGGGTCACTATGAGTCAGAACTGACTCCACGGCACAGAACAACCACCGCACCTGGAGTCCTGGTGTGGTGTTGTGGATTAATGCATCAAACTGCAAAGCCGTTTGAACTGCAAGGTTGGTGGTTCAAATTCACCAGCTGCTCCTCAGAAAGCCTTACAGGGTCGCTATGGGTCGGAATCGACTCGTGACTTTACAACAACAACAACTGATTCCCTAGCATTTTCCAAGTGCAGTCACAGCTATTTATAGTAAAAGAAAGCTTTCTGCATTTGAATAAGCCTTTCTTAACTGGTATTCCTTAAGGGAAATATCTTTGAAGATAAGTCATTATTGCTTAATGGCTGGGACTCTTACCTTTCTCCCCTAACCTGGACCAAAACTGTGGCTCTAACCTAGAATTTTTTTTTTTTTTTAAATGGAGGAGAAGTACATAGTAAAATAGGAAAGCAGCAAGACAAAAATAAATGTAGTTAATCCCTGATTGTTGGCAGATATGTAAAGTGCTTAGCTGCTAAGCATCCCCTCTCTACTTGAGCCCAGACCGGTGGCTCCCCCACAGCCGCTCATTCTCTGTAGCCCAGGTCAGATGAGAACATCCCACCTGGCTTTTTGTCCTTGACTAGCATGGCTGACAACAGCTCCGAATATTTAGATATTTAAAAATGTTACAGTTGTCCACAATGAGAAATGAACAGAATTTAAAGTTTACAACTCTGAAACATCTGCAAATTTAATAAAAGCACAACAATGAAGCAACTAAGCACTCTGACTTGAATAGTACTCCATTAACTTTTATTCCTCATCCACAGAAAAGATCATGGAAAAGTGAAGTTACATTTGCACATATCAACCTGAAACGTCATGAAAGGTTTTTTGTTAAGCCATCGCCAAATTTGCATTTCCAAACAATTAAGAATATTAAAATATCAACCATAGGAATGATACAGATTCTGAAACAAAAATGAAATCTCAAAATTTTAAAACGCTTAGTTCAAAATCTGAATTTTACAATCTTATCTAACAAAAACCTCTTCAAAGCTCCTGCCAAACTTTTCATTACTATCTAAATATGCTGATAAGCTGTTGTTAAAATACATCCTAATGACTCAGAGTTTTTATCCCCAGCCCTAGAACTCTGGGCTTTCTCCTAAACTCGGGTCTTAGATATTCAACTCTATTTACTGGTTACATATACTTGGATGTTGAATGACAACTCCAACATAACACATCTAAAACTAGACTCCTAAGCATTCTCCCCAAATCCTGTCATACTTATCTCAGTCTTTCCTCACCTCAGTTGATAGTAACGTCCTCTCTCCAGTTGCTTAAGTCACCCCTGACGTCTCCCTCTAATGCTGTTGTTGTTGTTAGTGCTGTCAAGTTGGTTCCGACCCACAGTGACTCTATGTACAACAGAACAAAACACTGCCTGGTCCTGAGCCAATCTCAAAATTGCTGCTACACTTGAGCCCCGCTGCTGCTGCCATTGTGCCAATCCATCTCATTGGGAGTCTCCCTCTTTTTCACTAAACTGCCCCTCCACTTTACCAAGCATGATGTCCTTCACCAGGGACTTGTCCCTCCTGACAATATGTCCAAAGTATGAGAAATGAAATCTGGCCATCTTAGCTTCTAAGGAGCATTCTGGTTGTACTTCTTCCAACACAGATTTTTTTTTTCTGGCAGTCCACATTACCTTTAATATTTTTTTCCAACACCGTAACTCAAATGTATCTCAATTTTTGTAAGGTCTTCCTTACTCACTATCCAACTTTCACATGTACATGAGGCTACTGAAAATACCATAGCTTGGGTCAGGTGCACTTTAGCCCTCAAACTGACATCTTTCCTTTTGATCACTTTAAAGAGGTCTTGTACAGCACATGTGCCCAAAGCCATCTGTCATTTGATTTCCTGACTGCTGCTTCCATGAGTGTTGATGGTGGATCCATTACTCATATCTAATCCATCAGGTAGGAGCACAGTGGCTCCATATGATAAGCACTGGACTGCAAATCAAAAGGTCTGGGATTCGAGCCTTCCAGTTGCTCTGTGGGAAAGATGGGGTTTTCTGCTCCCACACATATTTTTTAAAGCCTGGGAAACCCTCTACAGGGTTGCTATGAGTCAAAATTAACTCAAAGATACTTAACAACAAAAAGCCATGAAAAATCCCTTGGCCCTAGCTTCAAAATATATACACCATTCAGCCACTTCTCAGTATTTCCAGTGTTATTAACCTGGTCCTGACATCATTTTTTTTTTTTGCTTAGATAACTGAAAGTCTCTAAACTGATCTCTTCTCCTCCACCCTTGTTTTCCTATGGCTTACCCTTACACCAACAGCGAGAGAAACCGAAATCTGAGCATGTCACTTCCCTGTAATAGTCATGCTCCTTCCTTTCAAGTGCTTACAAGGCCCTTGATGATCTGGTCCCCTATTGCTCGCCAGACCTCACTCACCCACATCTATCCAGCCACATAGTAACACTGGTTACTCCCTTTCTCTGGAATACTCTTTCCTCATATAGCTTGGCCAGGGCTTCAGACTGGTTCTTCCCAGTTCAGTCATGGCCAATATAGCAAAATCAGAACAGACCTGAATAATAAAAATTTGGGTAAACTGGAACAATAACTAGAATGGGAAAAAAGTACAGGCCCATGCCCTGGAATGAGAGACTCAAAAAGGTGTAGTAAGCCTTTTTGGGAGCCTGATGCAGGAGTCTGAATGTAGAGAATAACACACATTCATAGCTATGTAATTGGCCGCCATCTTTAAATGGTGTACTGCTGTTTCCAACTCGGTCATTCAAGAGATTTGATGTTGTGCAACACACAGGCTGCCCTTGTTTTCTAAGAGAATTTGTTTCAAGTAGGGCATCAACCCATAATCTTTCCCATTCCCATTATCATTCTAGTACGCCCACATTTTACAAATTTAGGTCTGTTCTGGTTTGGCTTCAGCCACGAATAAACCAGGAAGAAATTGTTCCAAGCCCTGATTCCAGCTAACTTCCTAAATTCCCTGATCCTAGCTAACTCCCTTAAACTCGCTGGGTCCTGGCTAACTCCCTAAACTCATCTTTAAATATTGCCTTCTCATGGAGTCCTACTACCACATATACCCTTTGAACAGTTGAAAGCTCTTTACTCCTCATCCCCTTTAGCCTTACATTTATTTCCTTTAGCATCTATTGCCTTCTAAACAATTATCTCAAACATATATTTTTTTTTACTGTCTGCTTTCTCCAGCTAGAATGTGAGCTCCAGGGCAGCAGTTTCGTTTACTAATATATCCCACTTAAAATAATTACTAGCATATAGTTGTTGCTGTTGTTAATTACCATCGAGAAAGTTCTGACTCATAGCGACCCTGTATAGGGTTTCCAAGGAACAACTAATGGGTTTGAACTGATGACCTTGTAGTTTGAAGTCCAGAGCTAATCCCCCAGGCTCAATAAATAGGATTGGGAGAAAACAACAGCTATTTTCATTCCCCTATCCACAGCAACAACAGTAAGAGAAAAGGAATAATTTTTGCTTTAACATTAACATCACAGATACATACATATGCATAGTCCATCTAAAAAACTTACCTCTACAATCTTCTCTCTGTTTTTAGTTGGATTCATAGGAGGTTCTGTGAGTAAGATTTTACAATTTCTGGTATCTATGTTAAGCTTCTCTGGTCCAAATGTATAGTCCCACAGGTGTTTCATGTCATCCCAGTTTCGGACTATACCATTTTCCATAGGGTAGTTTACTTCTAACATTGAGCGTAACTCACTTGCCTCATCACCAACCATAAGATCCTAGAAAATTAGAACAGGAAAGCTTTAGATCAGACAAAGTTTTGCATAAAACACCTTTAGAAAACCATATTCCCATGATATTTCAGAAAATTTGAGAATCATTCATTTAATATTTCTGGCACTTCAAAGATTTTCACTCATAAGTCTAAAATGCTTCTTTCACGAACAATGCCTTACAAAGTTCAATCATGAGTAATAAATTTTTATGTACAATGTGGTTTTAATCAATAAATTGATCTTACCTTTAATATATGTTTCCAAAAGAAAAGCATTAGTACAAATAAACCTCAAATTTTCATATACTGCAAGGGTTTGAATGAAGTTTCATCATTCAAAAAATAAGGCCTGTGATATGTGAAATAGCACATTAGGGGACAACAACAAAAAACAAACGTTTAGGAAACTGCTCATTGCATGCAGCAATTTTCTTGTCCTAAATATCAAAATGATAAGAATAAGCATAATGAAAGAAGAAGGAAAAACTAAACTAAAATGATTATTATACTATAGTGCATAGTAGTATCAACTTGTAAATTTCACAAACGTCTATCTATGTATGCCTGAATTAGAATTTACATTGTTTCTATGTATGTCTCACCAAGATGAATTTAAGTCCCTACAGACAGAAAAAAGAAAGACACAGGGAAACAACCCTTCATTAAAATGATCTCATGAGCAACATTTTCCATTTTAAGTGCAATATTGAAAAAGTGAGCTATCGTACATAGATCAAGCAGAATACTCACAAGTCTTGTCTCCAATGAAAGCATACTTAAGATGACCCACATTTGAAAAGTCAAATTTTATATGTATATTAAGGCTAATGATGTTCTACAATTTAAACGTATTTTAGATCTCAGCTAGTCAAGATGTTAAACAATAATAATTCCTGTATTTTCTAATAAACTCCACCAAATCTAGTTTCAGAAATAGCTATATGCTATAGTAATACCTCAAGTTTAAAATACAGAGGAAGTATTAAAACCAGCAGCAAAATTAATATGAATGTCTTAAGATGTTGTTGTTGTTGCTAAGTGCCATCTTAAGATAGAGGTGTGAAAAAAAAAGGGGGGTAAAAACTTACAAAAACAAAAACAAAGGTAAAACCAATGTGAGGAAAACAAAGTTAAAGTGTTTATTAAAACTGTTCTACTGATTACTTCTTATGCAGTTCATTTACCATGACTTATTACTAAAACTTATTAAGTATTATCTATTTGAAATCATCAATAAGGACGATGTAAAATTAAAAATATGCATTTGTGAACTTTTGTCCATAACATATATGTTGAAGTATTTAGAGGGAAGTATACTAATATCTGGGATTGCTGTGGTTCTGTAGGATAAGCAGTGCACTGTTAACCACAAGGTCTACAATTTGAGCCCACCAAGTGCTCTGAGGGTAAAAGATGAGGTTTTCTGCTCCCAAAATGATTTACAGCCTTGGAAGCCCCATACAGGATAGCTATGAGTCAGAACCATCTAAGTGGCAGGTATTTGGATTTTGGTATACTAATATCTAGGAAACCTTACCATCATGAGTTGGAACCCACTCCACGGCAAATAGCCACTACCACTTTGGTGGCTTAGAGGTTGAGTGCTTGACTGTTAATTCAAAGACTGGCAGTTCCAACTCACTAGCTGCTCAATGAGAGAAAACTGTGGCAGTCTGCTCCCATAACAATTGCAGCCTTGGAAAATCCTATGGGGATTTCCTGCCCTGTAGAGTTGCTAGACTGCAAAGCCGTATGAACTGCATGGTCGGCAGTTCAAGCTCATCAGCTGCTCCTAGGAAACCCTATACAGGGTCACTATGGGTCAGAACCTACTCAACAGCACTTCACAACAACAACAACAGAGTTACTAGGGACTCCTGGTTTGGCACTGTGAGCTAATGCGCCAGACTGAAAAGCCATTTGAACTGCAAGGTTCGCAGTTCAAGCTCACCAGTACTCTTGGAAACCCTATGCAGGGTCACTATGGGTCAGAACTGACTTGACGGCACTTCAACAACAGAGATGCTAGAAGTTGAAACTGACTCGTTGGCATTGGGTTTGTTTTTTAGTTTATATGAGTATCTGCAATTTGTTTATTTAGAAATAAGATAAAAAATCAGATTGATTGATAAATAAAAATCAGTATAGAAAATATTAACAGCAGAACCTAGGTGATGGGTGTATTATTTCACTATAAAATTCCTTCAAGTAGATTTGAAAGAATTTCAAAATAGTTCGCTGTAGATTTGAAACATTTATGTTGGAATGGGAGGAAATCCCTACTGGCAAGTGCATTAACTACTTATAGTCATTTACAAATCTAATTTGATAAACAAGTCTGCTACTACTTTTATCTACAATATACTAGAATGTAACATTTTCCTTGGGTTGTACAAGGCAATAGTAGACATAGTCAACATCCATTCTCACCTATACTTCAACCAATTTGGAATAAGACTGGTCTGATTTCACCAGAATATTTACTTTACATTCCATGCAAGAACAGAGTCTACATATGTCTGACCCAATACCAACTCAAAATAAAATCCTTATTCATCTACTTATAGGATCGCATATACTACGAGAGATTAACTGAAAGAAATTTCTAGCATTACACATCCTCACTGTCCCTCTGAACAAAGAGAGAATTTGAAATGGAAGGAAAAAGGTTTTAACTTACTTGAGAAAAGTAAAATTTCTTGAGGAACTCAAGTTACGCAGTTCAAATTTTTATCTGCATCTGAATTTTAATTTAAAATCTTAGAACACTTCAACTTCCCCAAACCAAAAATTATCCTCACCCTTAGAAGCAAGTTAAAGGTAATCAGATCAAGCCTTAGGTTTGTATCGCCTGCCCCTGACTGGACACACCATCGCCTGAGAGAATGAGAAACCAAAGAAACCGAGATGCCATTTCAAAGGCAGTTATATTTATGAAAAACAGGCAGTATGGATTTTATTTTGAAAAACAGGCAGTATGGATTTTATTTTGAAAAACAGGCAGTATGGATTTTATTTTGAAAAACAGGCAGCATGGATTTTATTTGCCAAGAATCACTTTCAACAATATCACCTCAAAATTTAAAAACAGAAAAAATACAATTTAAATCCCTAAAAGGAAATTTTATTAAGAACATTAAGCCCACACTGCTCTCTTCACTCCTTCTTCTCTCATGATTCTAAGATGAACGCACAGCCTTTGATGTAGGATAAAGAAAGGAATTTGTACTTTCAAATGGCTTTGTTTATTCAAAAGAAAATGTCAGGAATTACTGTTACAAGTTACAATATACATATCACTCGATATGCCTGACAGTCATTAAAGATGCTTATAAAGGATAAAAACCAAAAGACAAAAAACAAAACAAAACAAAAAAACCAACCTTGAAAATATCTACTTTAGAGGCACTTAGACTATCACAGGAAAATGTAATTAAAAAGGTCAATTGGGACAAGCTTCTAATTCAAAGGAATGAGGCAAGGTGCCACACAATGGAGGAAATTCATATTTGGAAGAAAAAGCACTGTCTGTAGAAAAGCCATATAAAAGCTTCTTAATTTTTTTCTATTAATCCTCAGATAATGTTATAAAATCTGTTCCCCAACAAGGATGGTATAATAAACAAGTCAGTCTCTTTTCTTCCACGTTTTTCTTCTATAGTCATTAGCATATAAACTCTTACTCAGTTTATTAAATTACATATGATATTATACTGGATGCAAACACATATACAAGCTATGATAGGCAATGTTTGACTTAACACTGGTCAATAAAGCATATTTATCCAAATGCAACAACCTCACCCCACTTTTCTGGATCATACATATCTTATGTAAGGCCATTAGGTTTCTAATATTATGCACACCACATTCCATTTTAATGAGATAGCACTGATTCATCTATGAGAAACAAAAGGAAAACAACTCAAAACTATGTTAGTAATTAGTTCTTGTTTGGTCCATTGTATGAAATCAGGAAAGTAAAGGACTTAATTAGTTGCCACCAAACTGAAGCAATGAAATAGGTTAAAAAAATCAAAGTATTTAAAATAAAAACATGGAACTATCCCCCCCACCAATACTAAAGGGACACAAAACAACAACTACTGTCCCACCAAGCAAAAGTGGTAAACAAACAGAGAGCATGTGTGCAACCTCACTTACCATCTTTTTGTTATTCTACTTCAACAGGTCAAGAGAGGTGAAGAGAGAGAAGGTAGAAGTAAGAGTCAGAAAAGGCCTAAATAAAATCCTCACTGAAATTTTTAAACATACAAGCAATAGAGACAAATTAGGTAGAGCTCAGATGCAGTACTTTTATTATTTTACGGAATTAATCATTAGGGCCAAATTAATATGGGCAGTTATTACTCCTGAATAAAAATTAACGCATTAAACAATGTAAAATTTCAACTGTTTTGGTCTACCACCACTTTTAGCTAACAAGCTACAAAAGTATAAGTCAATCCACTAGGCATTACAATCCCAGAAAGTCAGGTTTCTGGAATTTGTTATTGAATTTATGAACTTTTAATTAAGAAAATTAATTGTAACAGAAAACGTCTACCTGGGTAGACCAAAAACTAGATAGTTCAGGGTTGTTCCGCCCCATCCCAAGTTCTATGACTCAAGTGAAATCTGACACAGGTTTCTTATGGTTTTCAGTAGGAAGAACAATGTTTAAAAAATTTGAAATGCTTAAAAATTGAGCAAACTGAACAGCACTTGAGTCAACAGAACACAAACTGACAGACTATACAGGTGAAACAATTGTTACAGGGGAATTCCTTGGCAAAAATGTCTTATTAGGTAAGTTTGATTTCTATCACTTGATCTTTTTTAAAAGCAAGAACATGAGACTGATGAGATGTCTAATTTTTTTGTGACTATGACAATAAAAATGGCTACACATGATATGGAGTCCTGGTGTGGCGCTGAGGGATAATGCGCTGGACTTAAAGTTGGTTTGAACCGCAAGGTCGGCAGTTCGAGCTCACTAGTTACTCTTGGAAACCCTATACAGAGTCACTATGAGTTGGAACTGACTTGATGGCACTTAACAACAACAACAACAACAACAACATACATGATACATCTTACAGCTTCAAAAATTTTGCTGTCCATAAAATATGTAAAAATAAGTTAATCTCTAAAAGCATACCACTGCATAAAAAGTATTACATTTAACTTCATTAGAAAGTGAGTTATCCTTAACACTATCGTTAGCTACAGTATTTTAAGTTAGAGTTAATTGGAGACTTCATTTTATCAGAATTAAAGGAGTTGACAAAAGGAGAATAAGGAATTCTATAAATTTTCCAGTGGAAAAGACCTTGCAAAGGAACATAATAAAACAGAGGCCAACCTGAGACACTATTTTAAGGCTTCACAAAAATAAGACAGAAGGTAAGTTTTAGTTTAAATTTTTATTCACTGTGTAATTCTCACTTCTCAACAGCAGAGAACTAACTACCAAGTAGTAAATATTCATCACCTATTACCACCTTCTAGCCATCTCAACAAATGTTCCAAAGAGGTACACCCTAACTCTTATTTCAAATGACACATAATCTAACAATTCATGGCAGTCTTGCCAGAGATCATTCAGATAAAAGCAGCAATGCTAGCTTGTTCATAAATAACTCACTATAAGAACCTCTCAGTTCTACTACATTCTATACCACCACACCTGACTGCTATGCCATTTGAAGAATTTAAGTCAACTAGTGACCCTCGACCTTTTGATTATTCTACTTTGTTGTGTCTCCTAAAGTAATACAACTTCCACTTGATTTCTGATTTAATATGGGAGAAAAATTTATCATCCTTACTGTAGAATCACTAAGGCAATGACAACTTCCCCTCATCTCTCCTCATAGTAAAACAGATTGCAAGGCTTCCTCCTGAACGCTTTGGAAATCAGTTATTAGATCACTTAAAAGACAAACCACTGTGATATACATCTTATGTTTTTACTAACAAACCATATAACACAGTAGGGGCATCAGATGATGAGAACATGGAAAGAACAAGTCTAAGGTCTCAAAGAGATACTAACATATGTAACAAATATATGGAATTTAAAAAACATGAAAATACCAGGCTGATTTTTAAAATTATATTAAGATGACTTTAAGTCAGTATTTCATATTCAGTATCCTTGTTCAAGAGTTGATATGAATTGAAAATATGAAATATTCTGCCCTCCCCTCAGCTTCTCATGGGTCAGATTTAAAAACTACTTAATTTAAAGAACACCTCACAGGTTTTCATCCTCATTTAGCAATAAAAAAATATATTACCTTGATTTCAATGTTTCCCACTTTGGTGGTTGATCTGATAATAGGTCTTCCAACCAAAGCTGGGAAGATGTGTTCTGGAAAGTTAGAGCCTGCATATCCACACTTTACAAACTGGAAAGAAACAGTGAAGAAAAAAAAAAGTGTTAGTATCAATGTATTTACTAACAGACATACAGACATATCCATTTAAAAACAGTAAGTGAAAAATACAACTTAGCATTTATATAACATTTAAAATTTTCAGTGATTTCAAATCACTCAAAAAATAGCTGCTCTTATCATACCATCTCCTATTTATTTCCTTTGTGAGTCTGACCACTCCCAGAATTTTCCTTTATTTACTAGTTAACTGCTTATTTAGTACCTAAGTCCCCCATTAGAAGGAAAGCCCCATGAGAGCAGGGAGCTCAGCTGAGCAGTTCATGTGGGAGCTCGATGCCTAGAAGAGGCCTGGCACCCAGTGGTCTTTTGGAAAATGAACAAACTTATTCAACAGATGTGAAGTATTTTTAAAAAGAGAAATGTTAGAAAACGAAAACGCCCAAAACCTCAATTCTAAGGCAGGCTTTTATTAACCTTCGACAATTCACTGAACCAACTTAACTTTCCAAAATGGGAAAACCAAATGTCACATGGACCAGTATCACATGAAAATAAACATTAGGTATTCTATACTTGGTTATTTACACTTTGTTGTCGATGTGTGCCATTGAGTCAGTTCTGACTCATAGCGTCTGGTGGGTTTGAACTTCCTACCTCATGATTAATGGGAGTCCTGGTGTGGCGCTGTGGGTTAATGTGCCAGAATGCAAAGCCGTTTGAACTACAAGGTCGGTGGTTCAAGCTCACCAGTTGCTCCTTGGAAACCCTATACAGGGTCACTATGGGTCGAAACTGACTCTATGGCACTTAACAACAACCACCTCATGATTAACATGGTTAGCAATCCAGTATTTATCCTACAGGGCTCAATTTATACTTTACGAGTTAATATAATTTCACATGCAGATAATATATTTCTCCAATGTCTTCACTGGATAAGTTATTATCTACATGTGAAATGATATTACTAGTATAGAGTCCTGGTGTGGTACTGTGGGCTAATGCATCAGACTGCAAAGTCATTTGAACCGCAAGGTCGGTGGTTCAATCTCACCAGGTAGGTGCTCCTTGGAGAGTCACTATGGGTTGGAATCGACTCCGATGGCACTAAACAACAACTACAACAATAAAGGCATATATCATTGACTCTGATTTTATTTACAAAACTTCCACTTTATGCATGAGAAACTATTAAGTAGTTTTTGTGGTGCTATAGGATAAGCACTGGACCACAAGGTTGGTTTGAACTGCAAGGTCAGCAGTTCAAACTCACCAGCCGCTCCTTTGAAACCCTATATAGGGTTGCTATAAGTTGGAACTGACTTGACAACAGTAAAAGTTAAGTAGAACCAACGATTTTTCATTCTTATACCAATAGCATAATTTGTTTAGTCTTATTTTTAAAAGGAGACATTATAAGAGAAAAGGCCATTAAAAATTCCAAGTGAGGAACCAAAACCAAATTAGATAGGGCGTCTATTCTGACTCACAGCAAGGCCACGTATATGGAGAAGTGTACTCCACAGGGCTTAGACTGTGACCGTTCTTAAGTATATTGCCATGCCTTTCTTCTGGGGCATCTCTGAGTGGGTCCAACTGACCAACCTTTTAGCGTTCAGTGCTTAGCCATCTGCATAACTCAGGGTAAGGGAAGTTAACTATACAGCAAAGGAAATGTCATCATAATCCCTACCTAGTTGTTGCTGTTAGGTACCATCGAATCAACACCAACTCATGGTGACCCCATGGACAACACAATACTGCCTGGCTCTGCTTCAGCCTCACAATCACTAGAATGTCTGAGTCCTTTACTGTAACTACTGCTCCAATCCATCTCACGGAGGGGTCTCCCATGCCTCAATTTCGCCAAACATATCTTCTCCAGAGACCCCTCCTGATGACATGTCCCAAACAATCAAGTTGGATAATATGCTATTTTGATTCAAAAGGTATTCCCTGGCTAATTTTCAGAAGTAGATTTTATTGTTGTTAAGGGCTGTCGAGTCGGTTCAAACTCATAGTGACCCTGTATACGGTTTCCAGGGTGGTTAAGTTTGAATCGCCAACCTTGCAGTTCAAACTGACCTTATGGTCAAGTACTTATTTTTACAGTGCCACACCAGGACTCCACCAGACATAGATTGGTGGTGGTGGTGGTTATGTGCCGTGGAGTAGGTTCCGACTAATAGCGACCTTGTACGGGGTTTTCCGAGGCTGTAAATATTTACGGGAGCAGAAAGCCTCCATCTTTCTTCCGCAAAACAGCTGGTAGTTTCGAACTGATGACCTTAAGGTTTGCAGCCTGATCCTTAACCACTACACTAACCTTTATTCCCACCTTAGTTTGAAGGCTCTCTAAAACTTGTCCAATATGAATGATCCTGTGGTATGTGGAAATATTGATGGCATAGCTGTCAGCATCATAACACAAAGTCACCAGAGTACAACAAAAGAGATGTCAGCTATCCCATTCAGCAAGTCTTTATTCAATGTTAGTCAAATTGCACAATGTGCCTAGACCAGTGTATGGCACAAACGAAGTGCACATTAAATAAATGATAAATTGCTGCTGACTTGAAAGTATGATACTATGATAATTTAAACATACAAAATATACAGAGTCTATTGTTCTATGGACCCAAGCATAGGAAGCTTAAGAAATAAAAACACTGCATGAATGTGGCAAATGACAGTAACGCAAAGGTGGACAAAAACTATTTATCTATACCTTGAAAGAAAACTACTCTGTACAAAGAACTGTCGTTTGATGATGGTAAAAATTTAAAACAACCTTAAATTTCACAGACCTTTCAAAACAGGAAATTTTGTTATTTTCAGAAATTTCGCTAAAAATGTCAATGAACTAAGGCTCAATTATAGTCTAGAACATTCTGCTATTCAGAATTTCACTCGTCTTTTATACACAAAACTTTTAAAAGATATGACTTAAGCAGTGGAAGAGGTGAAAGATGAGGCTTTCGGCTCCGCAAAATAAAAGATTTCAAGCCTCAGAAACCCTACACAATGTCCATATGAGTTAAAACAGACTCAACAACATTTAACAACAGCAAACCATTTTTATGAAAAATCTGTTGGAAATTAAGAACTTTCATATTTACAATACTGCCTGAATTCTTATCCACTCTGTTCATGTTTATGTTCTGCTGTTAAGTACTGTTGAGTCGGCTCTGATTCATAGGAACTCTATAGGGTTTTCCAAAAAGCGTCTGGTAAGTTTGAAGCCTTGAGGTTAGTAGTCTAGGGCTTATCTTACAGCGCTACACCATAGCTCAGTATTCAGATGTTTTCTCACAAACACATAAAAACTAGTCCTAGTTAGCTTACCACTGAGCTACTAAGGATAGGGTGATTTTCAGGTATAACTCCCCTTTCTGAATGTATAATACACAATTCTTATTTGATTGCCTCTCAAGGTAGAAGTTAGTGTGATCTGATGGCACATGTGATAGATGATGCTGCTTGCTCATGCCTACTTCCCTATTTGTACAGTGGTCAATAGTGAAGGATTAGAGAGTACTTCAAACTCTAAAAGAATGTGAAACATAACTCAAAAATACTGTTTCCACAATGTCCTCTCAAATAACTGATCTATGTGTCTTAAAAGGACTCAGAGGAACAATTTACTCAGAACAACAATATCCAGAGATAATACAAAGGGGATTCAAAGACTTGATGGAAAAGAAATTTTTTTTAAATGTTCAAACTAAAACAAAACCAGAAACTCTCACATTATTCTCCCCTAAATCACAAACTCTTTTGTTCTTAAGTCAGATCTAGCACACTAACCATGAACAGCGTGATACAGAAAGGTAGACTCTGCTCTCATGATTACCCTAGCCATATACACTGATTTTCTGCCTTAATAAAATCTGTTGTGATAACCAGGTTAGTATCACCATCAGTCACATATAGAAATGAAATACAAGACTACATTCTTCTGTTTACCTCAAAGTAGTGAACAAATATGGACACTGGTGGTGATGGCTGTGTGTCTTTGAGTTGGTTCTGACTTATAGAGACGTTAGTTAGTATAGGCTTTCCAAGGCTGTAAATCTTTAAGGGAGCAGAAAGACTCATCTTTCTCCCGTAGAGCTACTGGTAGATTCAAACTCCTGACCTTGCAGCTAGCAGACCAGTTTGCAATCCAATACATTATGAGGGCTCTACTAAGGACACTGGGTGGGTTAAAAGTATCTATTCACCATAATGAAAATTCTCACTTATATAAATACTTACAGAAAAAGTTATAGAAAGAACAACTGAATATACTCTAGATGCTTATATGGTCCACTTCACATTGCATGTAAATAAATGATACTCTAAAGTGAGCTATCATAACAGAAGTTGAAGAAGAGAGGACTAACCAGGTATAGTTATAGGGAGGCGGTGGCTAAGGGCTGACATGCCTATCTCATTCAGAACTATTTAAAAAGGAAAAGCAGTAAATAATCCTATCACTCAGTGTTCTGATGGATAGTTTGGTATCTTAAATTCTTATTTGAATGTATGAGGGGACTTTAAAAAACTCATGGGGAAAAAAATTTCTATTATCTTTTCATTTTTCCATGACCTTTTTGAGGCCCTTCATATTTTAAGCGACAAAACATTTGCCAAGTGCCTACACTGTTGGTGGTGGTCATGTGCCATTAAGTAGGTTCTGACTTAAAAAGACCCTGTATAGGGTTTCTGAGGCTGTCAATCTTTATGGGAGCAAAAAGTCTTAGCTTTCTCTTGCAGAGCTGCTGGTAGATTCAAACTGCTGACCTTGTGGTTGATGTTTTTGAGTGCCGTCGAGTCGGTTCCGACTCACAGTGACCCTGTACAGGGTTTCCGAGGAATAGCTGGTGGGTTTGAGCCAATGGCCTTGCGGTTCGTAGTCCAGTACTGATCCTACAGCACCATACCAGAAGACAAAAATTAAGACCTCTTACGGTGCAGAAAATTACTTTGTGAGGTACTTCTAACAACCGTCTTACGGCACCTACAAA